CATCAGCAGCGCGGGGACGTGACACCCCGAGCCCGACTCAACCCCCGAGCATCAGTTGGGATGCACGGGAGTGGGCCGCTTGCGCAAAGAACGGGCTCGGTGCCCAATAAGGAACACGACGCGGACATCAGTTGGGATGCCGGCCGCGCGAATCACAAGACATATCGGCATCAGTACGCAGACCCGCGCATCAGTTGGGATGCGGAGCCTGCGACAATTTACTCTCTTTCTTTCTCTCTCTCTCTCTCTCTCTCTCTCTCTCTCTCTCTCTCTCTCACTCTCTCGCTCCCTCTCTCTCCCTCACACACCCCTGCACACCCACTCACTGACTACCCAGCGCTAGCCTCCTGCTGCACAGATCATGCTTCTCCAGTGCTACTTCCAATCCGGAGCGGGATCAATCACAGGAGGTTGCGCACCGCACTGCCCGCATACGCGGACCCCCAGGCCATGACACGTGCGCTTCTGTAGCACCAGCTGGCGCAATCAGGCGTCAGATCGACACTTATCCGAAAGGCTTCGCCCTCCTCCTAAGTCGGTCATTTTTGTCCCCCGACCATGTTCCGATTCCGGCAAGATCCCGGAAATCCAGCGACGAATTCCACGCCGGCGCCCTCGCGCGGGACACCCCCAGAGAACTGGCCCCCCCGGAGCCTCTCCGCGAAGAGGCCTTCAGAAGCCCTCCTGCCCCACGCTCGCCGGATCCTCGCCTGTGCGACCCTCACTCTCCTGACCCTCACCCTCGCGTGCCTCGCCTTCCTGGCCCTCGCCCTCCTCATCCTCGGCCGCCGCGCCGCCGCCCCCCGCCCTTTCTCCTCTCGCCCACAAGCGCGCGCCCCCTCCTCTGTCTACAGAAACTCCCGATCAACCGCAGAGCGGCCGGCTGAGCAACTTGGCATCGCGCCGATGCGCCCACTGGCTCGCTGGAAAGATTAAACTGCATCAGGTGCTAGACACAGCGGCCTCTCTTTTGTGTTATCTCTCTCTCTCTCTTTGTGTTCCCCAATCAGAGCTTGCCTCTGTAGGGGTCCTGGCGGATTTAAGGCTATAGGTGAGGTGTGCCGCCGACTCGGTGGCCGGGCCGCCGGTGCCCGGGCGCCCGGGTGCCCGGGTGCCCGAGTTCGCCGCCGATTCGGTGGCCGGGCCCAGGCGCCCGGGTGCCCGGGTGCCCGGGTGCCCGAAATCGCCGCCGAGTCGGTGGCTGGGCCCAGGCGCCCGGGTGCCCAGGTGCCCGGGTGCCCGGGTGACGGCTGCCCATTCGGCGGCCGGGCCCGGGTGCCCGGGTGTCCGGGTGCCCGGGCGGGCGCCCAGGTGCTGGGTGCTGGGTGCCCGGGTGCCCGGGTGCCCTGTAGCCCTGTAGCCTTATAAAGCCCTATGTCCCTATCGCCCTATAGCCCTATAGCCCTGTCACCCATATAGCCATATAGCCATACAGCCCATATAGCGCCCAAGAGCCCATATAGCCCTGTAGCCCTATGGCCCTACAGCCCTAAACAGATTATGGTTGGGTTTTGTTTCTCTGGTATCCTATTGTTTTTGAGTGTTGCTTGTTTGTTATCTCTCTCTCTCTCTTTCTCCTCTCTTTTTCTTTCCTTTTTTCCCATTCAACTGTTTCTCTTTCTCTCTCTCTCTCTCTCTCTCTCTCTCTCTTGCTACTTCTCTAATTCTCTCTCTATCTCTCTCTCTCTCTCTCTTTCTCTCTCTCTCTCTCTCTCTCTCTCTCTCTCCCTCTCTCTCTCTCTCTCCTCTCTCACTCTCTCTCTCTTTCTCTCTCTCTCTCTCTCTCTCGCTCTCTCTCTCTCTCTCTCTCTTTCTTCTCAGGGCAGAGCTAGATGCCAGCATTGCCAGTGCAAGATATTAAGCTGGCCAGCAACGCCATGCGAGACACGAGGCATTCAGAAACAACAACTGCGCGCATCTCGATGCACGAACGATTGCAGCAGCACCACGACGGCAGTCCGCCCTCGGCACGGACTGCCAGGCGCCTGGCGCCGCCGAAGACTTACGACCAGCGGGCCTGACCACACATAAGCAACAACTTCGGAGCGCTGGGCACTGATCTCGCAGAATGCTGAGGCAGGTGGCTTCGTAGCACCACTACCGTCAGCAGCCAGAATCGAACGCGGCCGCTGACAACATCGGGCCCCGCTTCCGGCTGCCTGCGCCCACGACCGGCCCGCCGAACCCCCCCTCCCCCCCCGGGTCGAGCCTCCGACCCAGAGACGCCAGGACACGATCGATCACGAGGCGACGCGGCCACCGCCAGATCCCACGCGCTCCAGAGCACAGAAGTACAAGCCCGCATCCAGGCGCAGGCTCGGGCAACACAGGCACGAGCATCCCGGGGGGGGCTGGAGAGGGGGCAGCCCTTTTGCATCGCAGCATCGCCAGGGCTTCGGCAGCGTCTCCACGGCAACGTCGCCGAGCATCGAAAACCATCTCGGGCGTTGCCGGCCCAGCCACTCTGTCGCCGTGTCGCCGCTGCTGGGAGGGGGCGAATGACATTGCGCATCCTCTCGACACTGGCTACTGGAAGCGGCTGCCCGTCCGGGGCCCGAGCACGCGGCGGCGCCGCGCCTCTCCCGGCCGCAATGCCCCCCACGCGCCTCGACCACGTTCTCAGCCACCAAATGCGGGCCCACCGCGCGCCCGAGCGGGCCACGCGCGACCGCTGTGGCAACCAGAAGACGCGCTCGGGTAGGCGCGCAGAGGCCTCAAGCCCCTCCCCGACTGGCAGTCCGACGCCAATCCTGCCAGTCTTGTTCGACTCACGACGAACAATGACCTGAGCGCTCTCTCAACATCCTCTCAGATCTGCCCTCGGGAATCATTGCCTAGAGCTGGGGCCGAACAGACATCTCCGCTCGGCGCTGACTCGGAAGCGACGACCCAGCTGGTCTGAGTAAGTTCGCCCCGCGCTGACATCTCAGGCCAGGATATCTACCCCTACAGGAAGGCCGCAAGTTCGCCCGCGCAGAGCAGCTCGGACTCAGCGCCTCCTGCCTGGAGGGACACCGGCACGGGCGTCTCGCAGCACCGCGGAGCCAAGCCCGCCCGCCACCCTGCTGCCAGTGCCTTCTCGGCGGCACTCCGCACGGGGCGCCCCGCGCCGGCCGGACACGGCGCCGTCGCACTCCCAAACCCAAAGCCCTCGGCCCCCGGCCCCCGCGCACTCGGCCACGCACCCGGCAGTCCTCTGCTTCGTCATCCAAGATGCAATGCTCTATCCCGTCCACTGCAACCGTTTTCCCTCAATCAGATGCACCGCCTCCTGCGACTACTTCGGCAGGGAGCCCCGACATCTGCAGGAGCGAGGGAAAGCAAATTACACGAGGAGGACCGCGAAGAGCCGGCCGCTGCTCGCAAATGTACGAGCAGGCACTGAGCTTCCAGCACCAACCGTCTCTGTCGGCGCACCATGCAGCGCCATCGAAGTCGCCATTCCCTTCCCCCCTCCGCTCCCCGCACCTCGCTCGCGCCCACTCCAGGGGACGAAAGGGTACGCGTGGATCTTGGGAGCGAGCACGAGGAAAATGACATCGTCCACGCCAGCAGACGGGTCGCGCTCACCACCCATAAAAGTCCACCCACGAACAGATGGAACAACTCTAGACATTCACCGTTAGTTCCGTAGAAGTAGTAGTAGTAGTAGTAGTAGTAGTAGTAGTAGTAGTAGTAGCAGCAGCAGTAATAGTAGTAGTAGTAGTAGTAGTAGTAGTAGTAGTAGTAGTAGTAGTAGTAGTAGTAGTAGTAGTAGTAGTACTAGTAGTAGTAGTAGTAGTAGTAGTAGTAGTAGTAGTAGTAGTAGCAGTAGTAGTAGTAATAGTAGTAGGTAGTAGTAATAGTAGTAGTAGTAGCAGCAGCAGCAGCAAGCAGTAGTAGTAGTAGTGTAGTAGGAGTAGTAGTTAGTAGTAGTTAGTACTAAGTATAGTACTAGTAGTAGTAGTAGTAGTAAGTAGTAGTAGTAGAGTAGTAGTAGTAGTATTAGTAGTAGAGTAGAGTAGTATGGTAGGTGGTGGTGGTGGTGGTGGTGGTGGTGGTGGTGGTTGTAGTGGTAGTGGTAGTGGTAGTGGTAGTGGTAGTGGTATTAGTAGTAGTAGTACTACTACTACTAACTACTACTACTACTACTACTACTAGTAGTAGTAGTAGTAGTAGTAGTAGTAGTAGTAGTAGTAGTAGTAGTAGTAGTAGTAGTAGTAGTAGTAGTAGTAGTAGTAGTAGTTAGTAGTAGTAGTAGTAGTAGTAGTAGTAGTAGTAGTAGTAGTAGTAGTAGTAGTAGTAGTAGTAGTAGTAGTAGTAGTAGTAGTAGTAGTAGTAGTAGTAGTAGTAGTAGTAGTAGTAGTAGTTAGTAGTTAGTAGTAGTAGTAGTAGTAGTAGTAGTAGTAGTAGTAGTAGTAGTAGTAGTAGTAGTAGTAGTAGTAGTAGTAGTAGTAGTAGTAGTAGTAGTAGTAGTAGTAGTAGTAGTAGTAGTAGTAGTAGTAGTAGTAGTAGTAGTAGTAGCGCCAGAACCGCCGACGCAGCGGGAGGCTCAGGATAGCTTTGCTTGGCTCCCAGGGGACTGGGGGAACCGCCCGGGGCGGTTTGCACTGTCCAGCCCTTTTAAGCCAAGCGAGTAAGAACCCTTCTAGGCAGAGCCTAGGTAGGGAACAAAACGACAAAGACGATGACGACAAAGACGATAAAGACGACGACGACAACGACCACGACCACGACAACGACGACCACGACCACGGCGACGACGGCGACGACGACGACAAAAACGGCAAAGACGACGACGACGACGACGACGAAGACGACGCCGACGACGACGACGACGACCACGCCGGCTGCGGCGGCGCCCGCGCCGCCGCCGCCGCTGGCGGCAAAGGCACCGGCAACGGGGGCGGCGACAATGCCGAGCACGACGCCGGCGGGGAGAACGCTGCGAGGACACGACGAGCACACCACACGACGACGGCGGCGGCAGCAACGAGCACGACCAGCGGCGGCGGCGAGGCCTCGAGGCCCACGGCGCGGGCGCCCGACGGCCGAAGGCCGCACCGCCCCTCGTCTGGGCCGCGGCGGCCCGGGCTCCCGCTCCTCGCCGCGGGCGGCGCCGTCGTCTGCGCCGTCGTCATCAGCGCCGTCGTCGGCAGCCTCGGCGGCGGCGGCATCGTCGGCAGCCTCGGCGTCGTGCGCGTCGTGCGCGCCATCGGCGGCGTCGTCCACGCCGACGTCGTCCGCGCTGTCTTCGGCAGCGAACGGCATCGTCGGCAGCGTCCGCATCGGCGGCGGCGTCTGCGTCGTCGCCCTCGGCAACGGCGTCGTCGTCAGCGGCGGCGAACGTCGTCGGCGAACGGCATCGGCGTCGTTGACGGCGTCGGGGGACCAGGGAGGGAGTGGAGGAGAAGATGAAGGAGTAGGGGGGAAACAGAGGAGAGGAGGAGGAGGAGGAGGAGGAGGAGGAGGAGGAGGAGGAGGAGAAGGGAGGGGGGAGGAGGGAGGAGGAGGAGGGAGAAAGGAGGAGGAGAGGGAGGAGGAGGGAGGGGGGAGGAGGGAGGAGGGAGGGGAGGGGAAGAGGAAGAGGCAGGAGAAGGAGAGGAGGGAGGAGGAGGAGGAGGAGGCGGAGGAGGGAGGGGGGAGGAGAGGGGAGGGACGAGGAAGGAGGGAGGAAGAAGGAGGAAGGAGGAAGGAGGGAGAAGGGAGGAGGGAGGAGGGACGAGGGAGGGGAGGAGGAGGAGGAGGAGGAGGAGGAGGAGGAGGAGGAGGAGAAGGAGAAGGAGAAGGAGAAGGAGGAGGGCCGAGGCGGAGGGGCGAGGCGGGAGGACTCGCCGAGGCCGAGGGGCGAGGCGGGTGGCAGCTTTCAGATGAGCAGGGCGCAGACCGCGATGGGGGAATCGAGCGTGAGCGGGCCCCGACCAGCTGATGGTGCCCGACGGCGTGACCGAAAGGCGAGAGGGCGGAGCACCGCCAGAAGCGCTACGACACCGCCGGGGAGCGAACTCTTACTCGAGGCCGACATGGGGTTGCGAGCGCTGCGGGACCCGCTCGGGCGTGAAGGGGAACCTGGAGAGCCAGCTCAGTCGTGGGAGACCCGTGACGGTCCTGCAAGCCCACGTCGGCCACCGCTGATGATGCTCGGCGGCCTGCTCCGCGTACGGCGCGATGCCTGGTGGTGGCCACACGCGATGAAGCTGAAGTATGAGTGCAAGAGTAAGCCTTACAACTCGAATGCGACGACGCGTCGGAACAACATGATGAGGGGAGAGCACACCATCAGCAAGGTGCGACTGCGCGTGCCAATTGTCCTGCGCCGTGAGCGAGACGGCATCCCTGCGGCCGACCACAGATCACTCTTATACTGGTTCGGAGCAGCGGTCGCAGGGGGGAGAGGGGCTGGCTGACCAGAAATCGTGGATCGACTGGGTCAGTGTGTTAGCCAGCCCGCGTCAGGCCCGATGGCCAAGCGACGTGATCTGGCGACCGACCACAGCCTGCTGTTCTACTGGCGCAGTGCGGTGGCCGCGGGAGTGAGAGGGTCGGGGCTGGAGCGTGGCATCCAGCCCGACCGAGGCCAGAGAGGCCTCTCAGCCGGAAGGTGACACGCCACTCCTGGAGGGAGGGGGCGCGCGGCTAAGCGGGGTCGCCGCCAGAGGCCACACGAGCCCTGGCGAGCTTGGAGACACGGCGCCGGCGTCGCCGCACGCAGCGGATGCGATTGCATTGGTCTGCGAAGAAGACCATCATCAGATCATCAAAGTGGTCAACATTATCACCACCACCACCACCACCATCACCACCACCACCATCATCATCATCATCATCATCAGCATCATCATCATCATCATCATCATCATCATCATCATCAGCATCAGCATCAGCATCAGCATCATCATCAGCATCATCATCTCACCACCACTACCGCCATCATCATTGTCATCATCATCGTCATCAGAATCCTCATCATCATCATGATCATCATCAGCAGCAGCAGCATCATCAGCATTATCATCCTCATCCTCATCCTCATACTAATCCTCATCCTCATCCTCGTCCTCATGCTCATCCTATTATGTATCATCATCGTCATCATAATCATCATGATCAGCATCATCGTGCTCGACAGCATCATCATCATCACCATCAGCAGCATCTTAGTCATCAGCATCATCATCGCCATCATCGTCAGCATCATCACCATCATGATCCTCGTCCTCATCATCATGATCCTCCTCATCCTCCTTATCATCAGCATCATCTTCCTCGTCATCGTCATCATCATCCTCATCATCGTCATCCTCATCCTCGTCGTCATCAGCATCATCAAAATCATCATCGTCAGCAGCAGCATCGTCTTTATCCTCTTCATGTTCATATTCATATGCGTATTCATTCTCATCAACTGCAGCAGCAGCATCAGCATCAGCATCATGATCCTCGTCCTAATCAGCATCAGCATCATCATGATCAACAGCATCAGCATCGTCAGCATCATCATCATCATCATCAACAACATCAGCAGCATGAGCACCACCAGCATCACCATCAGCAGCGTCGACCATACCATCATCAACAACAGCAATAGCAAGATTAACAGTATCATCCACATCATCAGCAGCAGCATCAAGTATCAACATCAGCAGCAGCAGCAGCAGTATCATCAGAATCATCAGCATGATCATCATCACCATCATCATCGTCGTCATCATCAGCATCATCAGCATCATCATCGTCATCAGCAGAATCGGTACCCCCAGCATCAGCGGCACCATCATCATAGCAAAGATCATCACCTGTTATCATCATCACCATCATCAGCACAATCAGCATCATCATCATCAGCAGCAGCATCACCATCATCAACAAAACCAGCATCCTCATCATCAGCATCATCATGACCAAATTCGTCATCGTCAGCATCAGAATCACCGGCATCATCAGAATCATCCTAATCACCAGCATCGTCATCGCCATCATCATCAGCGTCGTCAAAATCATCATCAGCAGCAGCATCGTCAGCATCATTATCAGCATCATCATCATCAGCAGCATCATCATCGTCATCATCGTCATCATCACAAGCATCATCATCAGCAGCATCATCATAATCCTCAGTATCATCATCAGTATCATAAGCACCGTCCCCATCATAGTCGCCATCATGAGCATCACCAGCCAGCAGCAGCATCATCATAATCGGCGTCGCCATCATCAGATGCATCGACATCGTCATCGTCATCCTCGCTATCCTCAGCAGCCGCATCATCATCATCGCGAGCGGTATCGCCATCATATGCATAGTCGTCATCATCCTCATCGCCATCCTCCTCATCCTCGTCAGCATCGTCCTCATCACCATCATCATCATCAGCAGCAGCAGCATCATCAGAATCATCATCATCATCATCAGCAGCAGCATCATCATCATCATCAATACCATTATCCTCATCATCATCAGCAGCAGCAGCATTATCATCAACACCAGCACCAGCACCATCACCAGCATTATCGCCATCGCCATCGTCGTCGTCTCATCTTAATAACCATCGTCGTCGGCAGCAACATCATCATCGGACGCGGCGAGAAAGGCTTGGCCTGCCCCCCCTCCCCCCCCCGGGCGCCTGGGGAGGCGGCAGACAGCCACAGCCTGCCTGCTACACCTGGAGGGGGGAGCTTCCCCCGGCCGCCGCCACTCTTCGGCCACGCCCGCCCGTGCTTGGAGGAGGCAGGCGGGAGGAGGAGGAGGAGGAGGAGGAGGAGGAGAAAGGAGAGAGGAGGAGGCGGAGGAGGAGGAGGAGGAGGAGGAGGAGAGAGGAGGGAGGAGAGAGGAGGGAGGGGGAGGGAGGAGGGAGGAGGGAGGAGGGAGGACAGAGGAAGGCGGAGGGAAGAGTGAGCAGGGAGGAGGAGGAGGAGGAGGAGGAGGAGGAGGAGAAGCAGGAGGAGGAGGAGGAGAGAGGGGAGGAGGAGAGAGGCAAGCAAGGTGCGCTCGCACCATGTCGGACCTCCGATACCTCCCGCCAATCCCTCCCCATTGCGCAGCTGTTCTCAATCCGCCGACGCGTGTCATAGCGGATCTGGAACTCCTAAGAAGACCCCATCGTGTCATGGGCAATCGGGATAGGGGAGCTGCTGCGTACACAGGAGGAGGGGGAGGAGGTGGCGGATGAGCAGGAGGATGAGCAGGAGGAGGAAAAGGAGGAGCATGAGTAGGATGACGAGGACGAACAGCAGCAGCAGGACCTGGAGTGGAAGGAACGGGGGGAGCAGGAGGACCAGGGGAAAGCGGGGACAGGGAGATGAGGGGACGACAACGATAAAAAAGAACACGGATCCAGAAAAGTGGCCCATGCTGGAGCGATAACGCCATTCTGAACGGCGGGAACACAGCGCCGATCCTAAAATGAGGCCCACGCTGTAGCGGGACTATCATTTTGCAACACCGAAAACGCTCGGACTGGAAACAAAGCATCAAGACGTATCAACAGTTACAATCCGATGCGCCTGTGCGAAACACTACACTGGGAGGGCAGGACCACTCTCAACACGTCTTCGGGGGAGAGAGGAAAAGAGTATTCACACTGTGCACTTGTAGAGAAGGGAGGAGGGAGGGAGGAGGGAGGAGGGAAGAGGGAAGGGCAGGGAGGAGGAGGGAGAAGGGATAACGTCAATCCCACCAGCCCTCTGGGCGTTGATGGTTTAACCAACGTGTGTTTTCTCTCTAATCGGCTTGGTGATTTAACGAACTTGTGGTTTACCGAACTTGGTGGTGTAAACGGCGTAGTGGTTTAACGAATCCTTGCGTACCTTGCTCGGGGGGCGGGTTTACAGCTCCCCCTACCCCCTCCACTTGGCCTGGAAGGGTGGGGCCGAGGTGTCAGATGGTCTTCTTGGTGGAGCATGTTGGGCCGCCTTGGACGCTGTGAAAGCCCAAGAGGCGAATATGTTAAAAAGGCTTGTGCTTCTTAGGGGCACGTGTGGGGAGCCGCTTGGGGGCCTCTTGGGGCGTCTTCGGGCGCATTGGGGCTGTCGCGGTGCCATCTGGGAACGTCCTGGAGCTGTCGTGTGGCATTTTGGAGGGCCTCGAGGGCGAGTCGGGGGCTATCGCCTGGGGCCATCTTGACAGAGTCTCGGGCTGTCTGGCCCCCGCGAGGGTCGCCCAGGGAGGTCCCGAAGGCCCGCGGTTCGGCCCAGAGTGGCACCCGAGCCCAGGTCCAACAGCGCAAGAGCTTGCAGGATCGTGCGTTCTGGCGGGGCCCCGTTCGGAGCGGCCCTCGTCGTCTCGGCTCCGCCTCGCCACCTCTCTCGTCCTCCTCCTCGTCCTCGTCGCTCTTCGGCGATCGCCCCCTCCCTCCCTCCGTCCGGCCCTGTTTCCCCACTCGTCATGTTCCTCATCCTCGTGATCCTCCTCGTCGTCCTCATGGTCTTCATCCTGGTACGCGTCCTGATCATCGTCAAAACAACAAAGACCATCATCAGCAGCATCATCGACACCACCATCACCGCAAACATCGGAATGATCAGCAGCAACATCCTCACCATAATCATCATATTCCTCATGGTCCTCAGAATCCTCCTCCTCGTCCTCCTCCTCCTCATCATCATCAACATCAGCAGCAGCAGCAGCAGCAGCATCAGCATCATCAGCATCATCATCGTCGTCATCAGCATCATCAGCATCATCATCGTCGTCATCATCGGCAGCATCATCAGTATCATCATCAACCGCATCGTCATCACCAGCAGCATCATCATGAGTACGGATTGGCATCATCAGCCTAATCAGCACCCCCATAGAATCATCATCATCAGCATCATCATCAGCACCATCATCATCCGCATCATCATCGTCATCGTCATCGCCATCAGCCGCACCACCATCCTCATCATCATCAACATCATCAGCAGCATCATCATCATCGTCATCAGCAGCACCAGCAGCAGCCTCAGCATCATCGTCATCGTCATCACCGTCGTCATCATCACCACCACTATCGTCATCAGCATCATCATCACAATAATCAGAATGGCAGTCATCGTCGGATGTATCACTCTCATCATCATATCAGCATCATAATACTCAGCATAAGGAATAATAGTCATAACGGTTCGCATCAGCATCACCATCATCATCAGCATCATCATCGTCATCACCATCATCATCACCATCATCATCACCATCCTCGTTATCATATCGCATGCGTCGTACACACCATCATCAGTATCGCCATCACAATCACCATTACCAGCATCGTCATCATCACCATCAGTATCGTCATCGACATCCTTCCTCATCTGCATCATCACGAACTTCACCATCGACATCCAGTATCCCGCCTCATCATCGTTATTATATTCCTCCTCATCCTCCTTTTCGTTCCTCGTCATTACAATCGTAATCCTAGTCCTCATCAGACCCATGAGCATCAGCCGATCTACCATCGTCATCATCATCAGCAGCATCGTTGTCATCATCCCAATCCTCATCATCATCAGCAGCAGCATCATCACCATCATCATCGTTACCCATTATCACCTTCATCAGCAGAAGAATCAGCATCAGCATCAGCAGCATAATCATCAGCAGCAGCATAAGCACCAGTAGCATCGTCATCATCGGCAGCAGAAACACCCACCTTCTCATTCATCTCCTACCCCCCGGGGCACGACACCTTGGATCGCGGCAACACCCGCCAGGATGGGCAGCACCGTCGCCGCAGCGATCCTGTGGAGGACAAGAGGAGCAGCAACACAAATGGGAGGAGGAAGAGGCAAAAACAGCAGGAGGAGGAGAAGGAGGACGAGGGGGGGAGGAGAGAAGAGGAGAGGAGAGGAAAGGAGAGGAGAGCGGAGAGAGGAGAGAGGAGAGAGGAGAGAGGAGAGAGGAGAGGGGAGGAGAGGAGAGGGGAGGGGGGGAGGGGAGGAGAGGGAGGAGGAGAGAGGGGAGGGGAGGAGGAGGAGAGGAGAGGAGAGGAGAGGAGAGGAGAGGAGAGGAGAGGAGAGGAGAGGAGGGAGAGAGGAGAGGAGAGGAGAGGAGGAGGAGAGGAGAGGAGAGGAGTGGAGAGGAGAGAGGGAGAGGAGAGGAGAGAGAGGGGAGGGGAGGAGAGGAGAGGAGAGGAGAGGGAAGGAGAGGGGAGGAGAGGGAGGAGGGGAGATGAGAGGAGAGGAGAGGCGGACGCGGACGCGGACGCGGACGCGGAGGACGAGGAGGAGCCGGGCGCGGAGCTGGAGATATGCGGATGACGCACTGTCGACTATGCCCCATCGAGGGAGAGTCCCATGCCGTGCTGGGCACTACGGGCGCGTACGTTGGCTGCATTCCGATGTCGTCGCCACGATGCTGCGCACGCGGCTGTCGAGCAAAGTGGCGGACGTGGAGGGACACTGGAAGAGCAGCACGAGGGGGAAGAGGAGTCCGAAGATGACGGGGGAAAGGAAAGCAGGAGGGAGCGGGAGAAAGGAGGGATGAGCGAGGAAAGGAGGGAGGGACTGAGGAGGGAGGAGGGAGTGAGAAGGGAGGAATGGGGGAGGAAGTAGGAGGGAGGACGGAGGCAGAAGGGACGAGCAGATAAATGTCTGGGTACAGGGGCCTCCACGCAGAGCATGGTGAATACAATGTTTGTTACAGCTACACGAGAAGGGGCCAATTGATGCTAGAAGACAGCATTGAAGACTATGGGGGCCAGCTAGGTCGACAAGCCTAGGCGCACAGTGGTCGCGCTGGTCCAGGCTGGTAAACAAACATTGGCCTCGGCACAGCAAATGCACTAAACCCCAACCGATGCTGTCCCACCACACCCCGCAGCCCCCAGCTGCATGAGCCAGGCGAGTCGCGCAAGTCTGGGGCGAGGGAGGGATCTCCTGAGGACTGGGAGGGCCATGGTGGCGAGCGGAAGCGCAACGTATAAGCAAATCCACACGCTCGGGCAGCATTGGCAGGCGGCTCACGAGAAGTTGGCAATGCAGCTTCCCTGGGCGACTAAGCCTGCCAGCCCTTCGTCAACCACGCTTATGCGGGCAGCTGTGCGCTGGACGGGGGCGACATGCCTGAAAAAAGGAGGCGGGGTACATCCGTGCGGGATCTGGCTGCAGAGTGGGGGCGCCTGTCAACGCCATGCCATGGACAACGGAAAATTGGTACTTAGGAGGAGCGGGACGACGACAAGGAGGCTGGCCTGGCATGGCAATGGCCAAGCAGAGAGCAGTCAAACGCATAGCAGGCGACCACGGCAGCACAAGTCGGCGGTGGCGGAAAAGCGAAAATCGGGAAAGGCCAACATGGCGCTAATGCTGCTTCAATAGGGGATGGAAGAGCCAGTGGTCAGTCGACGCCTCAGCTATTGAAGCTGCAAGCCAATCAAACAGCGGAATGACTAGTCTCTAAGCATCTAGATAGTTCCGCACCGTAATGTCAGAAGCGGATATATCCACCCGGTGGAAAGACAATGGGCCTCGAACTCTCAGCAATGGCGGTACAGGCCATGAACTTCGCGTTGGTGTCCACAGTGGCTGGCAAACGCAAGGAGGCTGCGAATGGCATGAACGAGCTCAATGATGCCAAGGCGGACCTCGCAAGCGCCAAAGTCTGTGAAGATGCTGTTGCAGCTCCGACCATGGCCGAAATGGACAGAATGAAGAGCCAGCGTCCGGCGAAGAGGGTCATGGTACGCCACGAATGGGGACACCAAAAAGTACCAATATCCTCACTCCCCAGACCTCTCCCGGGGTGCGTTCTGACTCAAATTTCGAGGCAAATCCAGAGGTGGCGACGAGGGCCTCCCAGAAGGCCCAAAAAGGGAAAACGAGAGAAGGGTAGCGGTGTGGCTACCTTCTCCTCCTCCGAACGAAGGGGATCACATGTTCCCAGGTGGGAAAGCCCGCAGAGTGTGAGCACGATCCTGTGGGCTCTGTGAGCTGGCAGGGGTAGCACGCGGCTGGTTCGCACGCAAGGCCGCAGGCCTCGCAGTGCCTAGATGCTCGTTCTGGGGACCTTCTTAAAGCCACTCGACCGACTCCTGCGTGGATGCTGCGTCGAATGTCCGTCGACTTGGCTCGAACCTGAGTAGAACTTGAACCGAACTTGAGTCGAGCTAGGGTCGAGCTGTTATCGAACCAAAGTCGAACTAGAGTCGGACAGATACGTTTGGCGGGCCCCAGGAAGGCCCCCACAACAGACAGAAAAAATACGTTGAGATAGGCTTGCCGCTGCAGACGGCGAGTGCCCATGGGGAGCGGAGGAGGGGAAGCGCCTCTGCTCCTCTGAGCTGGGGGTGGCTCGCGCTCCCAGCAGGCCCTTTGCCACAGTGGCCGCGGCCGGCTGCGGCGGCGATTGCGCACTGGCTCGTGGGCAGCCGCTGTGACTCTGGCTCCCGACCCCGTGCATGAGCAACAAGAGCGGATGGGGTGGCTACGAGCCTCCCTGGCGGGTCAGGCCGAGGGAGGAGGGAGGCAGGACGGAGGCGGCGGAAGCAGGGGGAAATAGGGGGAAGGAGGAGGAGGAGTAGGAGGAGGAGGAGGAGGAGGAGGGAGGAGGAGGGAGGAGGAGAAACAGGAGGGAGGAGGAGGGAGGAGGAGGGAGGAGGAGTAAGAGGACCAGAGTAAACCCAAGATGAACCGACGACGCTGCAGTACACCCCCCCGTCCCAAGTCCCGTACTCGCAAGTACCTAGAAATCGTATGTTGCACTGCGGCGAAGCGGGGTTGTATCCATATCCTCCGCCTGGGAACCGACGCCCTGGGACCCCAGCGGGCGGTGGATACGGATATATGTAGGCCCCAGGGGGCCGATTATATCCATATCCACCGCCTGCCGAGGTCCCCGAAGATCGATCCCCCAGGCGATGGTTATGCATAAATCGCCTCGGAACCGCTGGACCCTAAAACTTGAGGACTTCTCGTGCGAAAACCCATTTGGACACAAAAAAAACGTCCTCCACCCGTGTAGCGGTTGCAGACTTTGACAACGAATGCGCGCGGCGGCAAGGCGTGAGCAAGACTACTTAACGACGAGTCGCCCTCCATCCGCGTACCAGGGTCCGAGCTAAACTGTGTTTGTCGGTTTCGTAGTGGTTTCGTTGTCATTCCGTCTGTCTTCGTTCTGCTTTGCTGCGAAACGAAATCAAAGCGAAAGCGGTCCACGAAATCGCAAAAGCAGAGTGTAGATCGACACCCCGTCCCGCGTACCTGCCCCGTGAAAACGAGTGCGCGCGGTACCAACGCGAACGCCCCACCTTGAAATCCACCTGCGCCAATCCGTGCAACTGTTGGAAACTCACAGCTCCGAGGTATTAAGCTTGAGGAATTCTCAGGCGGAACGCCCGGCCCGCCCGAACGACAAGTCAGGTGACGCGCCAGGGAGGAGTCACCTGCAAGAGGGATGGAGGGGGGGGGGGAGGGGGAAGGGGTGAGGCTGGAGGGAGGAGGGGGGGGGGCGGGGGAGGGTGAGGGAGAGGAGTTACCTACAAGAGGGACGGAGGGGGAGGCGGAGGGGGAAGGGATGAGGCTGGAGGGAGGAGGACAGAGAGGGGATGAAGAAAACAAGAGGAGGGAAGAAAAGAGGCAGGGAGCAGGGAGCAAGGAGCGGAAGAGAGAGGGCGAGCCCGTGACGCCGCGGCGTCATCCGGCCCGCGCGGGTCTGACGAGGAGCGGCGGAGGCACGGCGACCACATGCCATGCGGCACTGGGAGCGAGATAAGGAGGGGAGGAAGAGGGATCATGCATGTGCGTTTCCAGTCTGTGCGCGCTGGGTCTTGGGGTGCTACCCTATTCCTCCTCCTCCTCCTCCTCCTCCTCCTCCTCCTCCTCCTCCTCCTCCTCCTCCTCCTCCTCCTCCTCCTCCTCCCCGTCTTCCTCCTCCTCCTCCCCCCCCCTCCCCACCCCCTCCCCTCCCCCTCCCCCCTCCCCTCCCCTTCCCCCTCCCTCCTCCTCCTCCTCCTCCTCCTCCTCCTCCTCCTCCTCCTCCTCCTCCTCCTCCTCCTCCTCCTCCTGCTCCTGCTCCTGCTCCTGCTCTTCCTCCAGCCCTTTCTGGCCCGAGTCGGGTCTGCACGGGGTAGAAACAGTGGGAAGGGTTAGTTTTCTCTCCTGCGAGCCAAGTTTTGGCGTCTGGGTTTCCTGGGTGGCGTCCCCAGGACTCCTGGACTATAAACGGTTACTGCGGCCTGGCTGGCCTTACGTCCGTCACGGCGCCGCCATGTCGCGCCGCCTCGCTGTTGGCCCCTGGCGCTGCTGGATTGCGTCACGAGGGACGGCACGCCGTGGATCAACCGTGGCGACCTCAAGCAGTGCTCCACATGCAACCTGCATAAAGGAGTCTGCTACGGTGGTCCCAAAACGCCCAAAGGGAGCCCTGAGACCAAGTCCCCGCGGGCTCACCCAAGGCATATAAGGATAAGTCCGACACCGCCTCCATGGCTAAGCAGCTTGCCGACCTCCAGGCCATGGTCAAGAAGCTCACGGTCGCCAAGTCGTCTCCTCCTTGGGCGGCTGCTGCTGCTGGGGGGAGTGCTTCTGCTGCTGAGGCGGGCGTCGGATTGGACAATGGGCACCCCCATGGGGCTCCCACTGGCGACAAAGGAGGCACCGCTGACCCGTCGGAGAAGCAGGTCAAGCGTGACCGCATCAAGAAGATCAATGAGCTCCGTAAGGTCTATGATGGTTCCTCCGTGGCCTCGGACCTGGCGCAGGTCGAGTCCCTCACTGAAGAGAAGGAGCGCTTGGGCAAGGAGCTCGACGCCGAGCGCCCTTGGAGGATCAGGTCACCTCCCTCGCCACGAGGCTGCGGAACTCCCGTGCCAAGGGCAAGCGCCTTCGCGAGGAGCACGCTAAGAAGCAGCTGGTCATCGACGAGCTGGTTGCCAAGCAGACGGTGCTCCAGGACTCCTTGGCCGAGGCAGATGCCGAAGTCATGCGGCTGGAGGAGGAGGTCCAGCGCTTGGGCGCCGACCGAGCCCCTCCGCCCACTGCTGGCAAGCCCACGCTCCATAAGCTGCTGCCGAAGTTCGCTGTCAACGTCCAGCAGCTTGGCGAGTTGGCCGCGGAGCTCGGCTTGGACCCCAGCCCCCAGGCGGAGCTGGAAACGGCGGCCAAAGTCTTCGGGAGCTTCCCCAGGCGAAGCCGCAGGCGGCACAGGAGCCCTCTGCGGCCCCTGCCCCTGCGACCCCTGCTGGGGAAGAAGGAGGAGGAGTTGCGTCCACCGCCGTTCCCCTCGCGGGCCAGGTGCAGGTCCTCGCTGGGGAAGCTGCCAGGGACGACATGGAGATCGACATCGACCTCATGGAGTCCGCCGAGCTGCGGGAGGCGTTGGAGGCGGCAGGACTCACGCAGCCTGACGACGCCACCGACGCGGACATGCGGGTGGCGTACAAGCGTTTCCTCGACTCCTTCACGCATGCGGTTACGGCGCACTAGAGGAAGAAGAAGGCTCCATCAGCCCCTTTCTGAGGGCAGCGCCTGCCAGCGCGGCTACACGAACGGCACGGGCCATGCACAGACCACTCGATGCGAGTGCTATGCGTCAGCTTGTTGTGACGGGCTGCGCGGCCATCAAACTGACAAGAAGTCCCATGGACAGAAGGTCAGCTGTGGCCTCCCGTGCACTGACAGCACGTACCATGCACAGGCTGTCAGCTGCGACCTTCCTGGCAGGAAGTAACATGCACGGAATGTCAGGGTTAACGAGGGGCGCCCACAGGGCAGCACGTACCATGTACACGTTGCTCCTATATCGTGTCCTGCCTGCATGGGTCCGCCTCCACTGGACGAAGAGCACAGAGTGTCTCCTGCCAGTGGCCACTACTGCTCTAGCCCGTCGCCGCCAACCTGTGCTGCAGTTTTCTGCGAACAAGCCCTCAGACCGATTTGCTCCAGTTCGCTGCGGGGGCTCTTTGCACTCGCGGTGTCTGAGGCGGAGGACCCCCTGGAATTCCCGGCGCGAAGGACCCCCTAGAATTCCCGGCGCGGAGTGCTGGCTGTCAGCTGGGGCCTTCCTGGCGGGATGTACCACGCACGGAATGTCAGGGTTAACGAGGGGCGCCCACAGGGCAGCACGTACTATGCACATGTTGCTCCTAGGTCGTGTCTTGCCTGCATGGGCCCGCCTCCACTGGACGAAGAGCACAGAGTGTCTCCTGCCAGTGGCCAGTACTGCTCTAGCCAGTCGCCGTCAACCCGTACTCCAGTCCACGCGTCTTCATCGTCTGCGGCGCGCCCGCGTGGATGGACCTTGGTGCTGTTCTGGGGCCCACTTACACTGTTCGAGGTGGGTTCTGCTGGAGCCCCCGACAGCGGTGGGAAAACAAATTCTGCGGCTGACCAGTCCACGGGCTTGCTCCGCAACTGACGGAAAGCACCACCTCGATACCGAGCTGACGGCAGCGACACAAGCATGCCAGAGGGTCGCGATCCCTTTGCGCAGGGTCCCAGCACGGCCATGCCTGATGCTGGCGACGCGCACTGTCAAGTGGCGGCCAAGCTGGTCACGGTCAACCCTGGCTCTCACGGGCCACTTCTCAATTTCCTGCCGCACTTCCTCGGCAAGGTGGCGATGGCCCAGGAGACGCGGGTGGTCGACCAGCGGCTTGGGACCGCACAATCTGCTGCGCGCGATGCAGGTTGGCACGGCCTCTGGGCTCCTGCCGAGGAGACGGGAGGAGCGTCCGCGGCGTCGTGCTCCAGTGGAGTCTGCGTGCTCGCGCCTACCAACGCGATGGTCACGATGCCCTCCGATGGGGATCATGTCGCCCTTCCACATCATGCTGTGCAGCTCATGTTCACTGGGGTGCCCCTGGTGGTCTGATTGTCGTCAGCGTGCACATGGTTCAGGGCATCGGCGTCACCGGGGCCAACCTCTCGATCCTATGGACGCTTGCGAAGCGCGCGGCGGCGTGGAACGCACGCGCCCTCGACTGGATCATCGGGGGTGACTGGAACGCCGACGGCCAGAGCATCAACATTGACGACTGGGTTGGGTCCTTGGCAAGCACTCTCCTCCAGCCGTCGGCCTCTACGTGCGCCCTCCACCGGAATGTCCCCACCATCGACTACTTCTTCGTGGCCAGCGACCTCGCGTCCCGTCTCTCGCCAGCCCGAGGTGATACATGGATGTGGGAGCATTCCCAGACCCCACTACCCTGTGGATCTGGAACTGCATGGCAAGGACACGCCGACGTGGTGCCGCGTCCCCGATGAGCCTCGGCCACTGCCTGCTGCACCCCCCGTTGGCTGTGCTCGTTTCCCCTTTCCTTGGCACACTTTATATAGCCGATTTGTGCGAGAAGCCACCGCGCCGCACAGGGTTGCTGGCACGGACCATGTCCAGTCCAAGCCCGATCGGGACCGATGCAGGTCCTTCGATCACTTTGGTCCATTAGGCGAAGTTAAGCGCGATCGATCGGGACGCGCGGGCCAACGTTACCGCCGTCGGACCTGGGCCCATGGACAGGCCGTCGGCGAGGCAGGCACACCTGATGATGTCTCGCAGCAGCTCTGGGACTCCGTTCTGCAGGGCATTGACTACGAGATCGCAGGCAGGCACGACAAAGTTGGCCCTGGAGCCAATCGCTTCGTCGGGCAGCACGGCCCCCCCAAGGTGAAGTGGCGGCAGCTGCGGTGGGAGCCACCTCGCAAGCGGCTGTACCACGACACCACAGTCTGGGCTTGGGCTACTGCGGCACGCTGCGCTACTCAAAGTGGTGATGAGCGAGATCGGTCCAGCGTTTTTGCCACGGGTTGAATGCGGCGGCGGCGCATGCGTCTCCAGCTCCCAGGCAGCTGCAGAAGACGGCACGCGTTTTCTACGACATCCTCTGCTTCCTGAGCTCCGTTGTCGGGCAGGATAAAGTCCCAACCAACATCGACCCCTGCTACCGCCAGCTTTTCCTGCGCGGGCTGGACGGGCTGATTGCGGAGGATGTTGATGACATTGTAGATGCCATCGTGGGCCGCGCGGAGGACCTCACTGCCGCGGCTCGAGGCGCGTCGGAGAGAGCCCGGCGCAGCTGGACCCAGGCGGCCTTCAATGGGGGAGCGAAGGCTGCCCATGCTGCATCCAAGGTCAGAGCGCAGCAAGAACTCGTTGCTCCTGAGGCCGACGCCCAGCCATACACCCCCGCGGACCGCACCATGGACGAGTGAAAGCGGATCTGGGCGACCCATGGGCTGGAAGAGCTGCCTCTACCCACGGATGCACCCACGTGGGAGGAGCTGCCTAGCCTTACGGCCCATGGCCTACGGCAGGCCATCCGATCTTTCTCTCCCGTCACCGCTTCGGGGCCAACTCGCATTCCACCCAAGGCGCTCGAGCACTGATCAGATGAGCCTCTCAGCCGGTTGGCCCAGATGTTCGAGGTCTTTGAGCTGCACTTACGGTTTCCCTCCGACCACCTGTATAGTGATATGGTCCGTCTCCCTAAGCCAGATGGCGGCCACAGGCTGATTGTGCTTAGCCATACTCTCATACGAGTTCGGGCGACAGCACGCCGACGGCTGTCGGCAGAGGGGCAACGACAGCATCATTGCGACGAAATGTGGGGCACTCGAGGCAGCCACACATCCACGGCCTCGGCTTTCGCTCACAAGCTGGAGCAAGAGGTGGGAAGCCTCATCGGCGACCACACTTGTACCATCCTCCTCGACATGGTGAAATGCTTCGACATGGTGAGTCCCCATGCGAGCTGGACTACCCGATACGCCTGCCCTGGATGTCGCTGCAGCTCTACCAGCAGCCACGGCGCATCAAGGCGTACGGCAGCCTCTCGTGCTCCTTCGTCGCCTTTCAGGGGGTGCTGGCGGGGTGCACACATGCCACCTACCTCATCTACCTGCTGACGCACCGTGTCCTCCAGCGGGCCAGCAGGGTTGCGCCGACAATCAGGCCACGTTCGCTGTTGGACGACATCGGCCTGCAGATGGTCCCCCCCGACATCGGTGATGTCAAGCTGCTGGAGGCCAGGGACCTCGGGCTGATTCTCCAACCTGCTAAGTCCGCGGTAGTGGCTGGATCAGCGCAGGCCCGCCTTGTGGCGCACAGGGCCCAGCGGCGGCTGCCTCGGGCGGTGCCCCACGCCCGACATATGCGCAACCTTGGCCATGAGCTGCATGGCCCTCGAGTGCTGAGGAAGATTGAGAAGAAGCGCTCGAAGGCCGCGCGGGAGCGCAAGCACCGCCTCCTCACGCTGCGTCGCGCGGCAGGGCACAAGGCCTCCACCCTGCGGCGGACTGGGCCCATGCCGCCCGCAGGGCACGGCGCTGGAGTGTCGGGGTTGGCGGACGCGCCCCTACGTGAGATGCGCAACGTGGCCGCGGTGCAAAAACGGGGGCGGTGACAAACACCACGCGGGCGTCACGGCATACCTCCTTGCTCACCCTTCGGAGGAGTACGACCTCATCGATCATGCCACGCTGGACCTGGTCTTGAAAAACGCCGCCTGGATTTAGAATGGGCGCACGTCACCTAGCCGCCTGCAAAGGGCTTGGACAGCGCTCCATGAGCGGCTTGTCCCCGTCAGCTGGGCCAATACCAAAGGTCCCCTGGCCGCGACGCGGTTGACGCCCGGGCGGCTAGCCTGGGACACGAAAGCGCCGCACGTCTCACAGGATGACCTGGGCAACCAGTATGACCTGCACCGCGTGCGCCCTGCTGACCTACGTCCGTTTTTGGTGCAAGGCGTGCAGCGCTGGCAGCACGACCGCCTCACCAGCCACATGCACTCCCCATCTGGCACCGTGGGCTCAGGCACGCGGCCAAGGGTGTCCGCGCCGCAAGGCAGCTGGGAGCGTTACAAGCGCCATGGTCGGACAACATACCCATGCCGATCCGCAGGGACATTAAGCTCGGCATGCCCATGCGCCCCTGTCAGGCTTGCGGGGAGGCCCTTGCGCCCGACGCATGCTGGGGCCATGTCTTCTTGGAATGCCCCGCGCTGCTGACCCACCCCCCCGTAGGGGGGCTGCGACCCATGGAGCAGGAGGCGACGGACCATGTCCAAGGCCTGCGACAAGCGCAAAACCCTGAGATGCAGCAGGGTTTCGGCGACCTACGCCAGCAAGCTCACGACAACCCTGAGAGTCGGGCCGACCCGACCTTGCAGACCCTGCCGGCCCGACCCGACACCACGGAGGCCGCGGACGACTTCTTCCCAGGCATCGGGCAAGGGGTCGATGAGGAGGTCGACTTTGCGCCACCGGATGGGTGCGACGGCCATCAGGAGAAGGCGCGGCTGGACGCGCAGAGTGCCCCCTGCGCGCCACGGTTGCTTCGGAACAGAGTGGCCCGCTGCCCCCTGCGGCGGCGGCCCCTGCCTCGGCGCCCGACGCACCGCGCGGGCACGGCGGGCCCGAGACAGCTACGCCAACGCTGAGTGGCCGCGGATCTTCCACCTCCCCCATGCGCTGGCTGAGGTGCGCGACCAACTTATCCAAGCGGGCCTTGGATCAGGCACGCCGAACTTCGAGCAATCCTACCTCGCTTTTGGCATACCCGAGCCTCCCGCTTATCTGCCACGCGCAGATACGCGGAGGCACGGCGTCTGCCTTCGGGGCGACGCCCATGGCGTTTGGAGCCCCGTTTCTCACACCGACGGGTCTAGTTACGACGCAGGCGTTCCCGAGGTGCGGAGATGGACAAGCTGCTGTGCAGCGTGATCCTTCTTCTTGGCTCCCGGTTAGGGCGCGGTTCGGGCCCCTTCCGTACTTGGCGCGCACTGTCGGCCGTGCTGAGAGGCACGCGATCAGGGAGGGGCTCGACGCATTCCCTGACCACCAGGGCTTCGTCACTGACCTGCTGGCGCTCGCCCGGGAATGCGAGCGTCGGCACCCCGAGCTCGAGCAGGGTGGCGCCAAGCACGCTCGAGCATGGCGGGACATCTTCGTGGCCAGCCGCAGGCGCACTCCGCGGGGCCCCCCAAGTTCCGATGGACGCCGGCGCACAGGTCCTCGGAGGAGCTCATCGGCACAGAGCCGCAGGAGCTGCGTGACTGGCTAGGCAACGGCTGGGCAAACTACTCCGCGCGCTGCGATGCGGCCTCTCACGCGCCGGCTGGGTCGGTAGCTGAGGCGGCAACAGCTCCGCTGAAACAGCACCGCAAGGTCCTGCAGTTCACGTCGTGGGCGGCACTGCAGGCGGCGGCTCGCAAACAATGGGGATGCGACGTGGACGTCCCCAGGCCACCTTGCGAGCAGGCCAGGCCCATTGTGGCGGCACGCAGTACGGACCGCGCGCTTGCTTACTGCGCCAGCCTCGGGCGGCACCGACGCACCCAATGCGGAGTCGCCGCAAACTGGCTCTCATCGCGCATGTCGCCCTTCGCGCGTTGCCAGAGCTCTCAACGCCGAGCACTCCCGCGCCTTCGGCGAAGGCTGGGTTCTCTGCAGCGACCAACGGGCAGGCACGGCCCCAGGCGCGGCCTTGGCGCCCGAAGGGAGCTCACAGCCCTCGGCCCCCGCAGCCTCGTTGCCACCTGCCCTGGCCGAGGAGGTCGGGGGCGCCTTCGCTGCGCTTGGGCACGACGTGTTCAGGGGCAACAATGTTTACTGTTGCAGGCGCTGCGGGTCTCACTGTGATGCGGGAGATGTCCGCACAGTGCGGAAGCTTGGCTCGAGGTGCGATGGGCTCTCGCACAACGAGTCCACGCGCCGCAACCAGCAAGATGCGGTCAGGCGCGTCGAGAGGGGCCTGGCGCCTCGTGCCCGACGTACCCCAGCAGCGCCGCCCCCGCAGGGGGGCTCCTCTTGCAGCCACGCGGCGCGTTGATCGACCTTGTCGTGATTCGCTGCCGTTCCGTGGTCGGCTGGTGGCACGGCGTCTTCTTCGGTGGCGACGCCTCCTTCGTCGGCGGCAAGTTGGCCTGCGTCCACCACCTTGAGGGCGATTTTTTCCTGTTGCTTTCCTTCTACAGTGCCTCCTGCTCTTACGGCACCGTGCCGTGAGTAGGCGGCGCCAGGGGGTAGTCCGTCGCGCGCCCGCGTGCGCGGCGGGAGACCTTCCTGAGGCGTTGCGCTCCTCCTCCTCCTCCTCCTCCCCCTCCTCCTCCTCCTCCTCCTCCTCCTCCTCCTCCTCCTCTCCTCCTCCTCCTCCTCCTCCTCCTCCTCCTCCTCCTCCTCTTCCTCCTCCTACTCCTCCTCCTCCTCCTGCTCACGACAACTCATACACACATGAACCGCGTCTCCCCCTGACTACTCTCCTCCCCGCTATCCTTCCCACCGCCCTCCTCCTCCTCCTCCTCCTCCTCCTCCTCGTCCTCCTCCTCCTCCTCCTTCCTGTCTTCCTTCCGTCCTTCCTTCCGCCCTCCCTCCCTTCGTGTCAAACCTCTCCCTCCGCCCTCCTCCTCCTCCTCCAGCAGGAGCAGGATCATCATCATCAGCAGCAGCATGATCATCATAATAAGCATCCTATTAATATTCGTGTTCATCATTATCCGCATCATCAGCATCAGCAGCAGCAGCATCATAATCACCATCCTCCTCATCATCGCCATCAACAACAACAGCATTACCAGCATCATCATCCTCATCAGCATCATCATCCACATCATCATCCTCATCATCATCAGCAGCAGCAACAGCAGCACCGGCATCATCATCAGTATCATCATCAGCAGCATCATCAGCATCGTTTCTCCTCTTCCTCCGTCTCCTCCGCATCCTATTCGTCCTCCTCCTCATTCTCGTTAGACCCTGAACTTCCACATCCAGATTCCTCCTCCTCCTCCGCCTCCTCCTCATTATACTCATCCTCCTCATCATTATCATCAGCAGCAGCATGATCATCATCAGAAGTATCCTTCCTCCTCCGCCTCCTCCTCATCATCGTCATCAGCATCATCAATATCAGCAGCAGCATCGCCACACTCAGCATCATCATCATCATCATCATCATCATCATCATCATCATCATCATCATCATCATCATCATCATCATCATCATCATCATCATCATCATCATCATCATCATCATCATCATCATCATCATCATCGTCAGCATCAGCATCAGCATCATCATCATCGTCATCATCATCAGCATCATCATCATCACCATCACCATCACCATCATCATCAACCTCATCAGCATCATCATTAACATTATAGTTGTCACTGTCCGTCCTCCTCATCCTCATCTGCCTCCATTTCATCCTCCGCCTCCTCCTTTCCCCCTGCTCCTTCTCCTTTTACTCCAATTATTCCACATCCTCCTCCTCCTCTTCATCCTCCTCCTCCTCTCTCTCTCATTACCCTCATCGCCTCCCCCCGCCCCACCCTGGGAGGATGGAAACAAGCTGAGAAGGAGCTTATGGCAGCGAGAGCAAGGGGGAAGGAGCAACGACCACGACCTCTACCAAAACGCATCATCATCAGCAGCAGCATCATCATCATCAGCAGCACCATCACCATCATCCTCATCATCATCACAAGCATCAGCATCGTCATCATCAGCATCAGCATCATCAGCAGCAGCATCATCATCAGCATCATCAGCAGCAGCAGCAACATCAGTATCACCACAATCATCACCATCATCATCACCAGCTCCAGCACCAGAACCAGCACCAGCACCATCGTCATCATCTTCTGGCTCCTCATCATCCGAGTCCAACTCCTCCTCCCCCTCCTCCACCTCCTCCGCCTCCACATCATGAGTATCAGCATCATCACCATCATCAGCATAATCATCGTCATCATCAAAAACCAAATTCTCACCACGACCAAAAAATAACAACAAATAACATAGTAACATCATCAGCAGCATCATCAGCATCAGCAACATCATCGTCAGCAGCATCATCAGCAGCATCAGCATCAGCATCCTAAGTATTACTATCATCAGTATCCTTAGTATCACAGTTATTAGCATTACTGTACCATCATGATACACAGCATCATTCGTGTCACTATCAGCTTGTTCACCACCAGCATCAACAGCTGCATCAGCATCAGCATCAGCATCATCATTATCGTCAGCAGCTTCACCATAATCAACATCATCGGCATCGTCATCGTCATCGTCGTCACCCTCATCATCGTCACCAGTAGCCGCATGCTCATACGCGTCAGCAACATCCTTACCGCCAGCACAATCATCATCATCCACATCATCAGCAGCAGCATCAGCAGCATCGGCATAATTATCATCGGCATCATCATCAGCAACCACAGCAGCGCAAGCATCATCAGCAGCATTGTCGTCACCATTAACAACATCAACATCAGCATCAGGACATTCATCATTGACATCATCCTCGTCGTCATCATCATCATCAGCATCATCATCATCGTCATCAGCATCGGCATCATCATCATCATCATCATCATCATCATCAGCCTCATCAGCATCGTCATGATTTCTATCATCAGTGTCGTCTTCACCATCATCCTCACCCTCGTTGTCATCGTCATCAGCATGATCACCATCCTCATCGTCATCCTCATCATCAGATCAGCCTCATCATCATCATCATCATCATCATAATCATCAGCATCATCATCATCGTCAGCAGCAACATCATCCTCAGCAACAGCAACGGCCTCATCATCAACAACACCACCATCGCCAAAAACATCAACATATTGAACTATTGCCCTTCTGCTCCTCCTCCTCATCCTCATCCTCATCGTCATCGTCGTTGTCGTCGTCGTCATCATCATCCTCATCATCAGCATCATCAACATCATCAACCTCATAATGGCCATCATTATGATCAGCACCGTCATCACCATATTCAGCGTCATTATCATAAGCATACTCATCATAATCCTTGGCATCAGCAGAGACTCCATCATCAACCTCACAAGCGCCATCAACATCATCACCAACATCGTCAGCAGCATCGTCATCGGCACCACCGCCAACGCAATCATCATTATCATTAGTATGATCAATGTCACCACCCTGTTCGTCGTCAGCATTCGAAGCAGGATCATCATGATCATCATCATCAGCAGCATCATGATCATCAGCATCATCGTCATCATCATCATCATCGTCATCATCATCATCATCATCATCATCATCATCATCATCATCATCATCATCATCATCATCATCATCATCATCATCGTCATCGTCATCGTCATCATCATCATCGTCATCGTCGCCGTTTGCAGTTGCCGTCCGCGACAGGTCATGGCCCCTCGCTGATGAAATCAGCGTGCCCATCATCCCCCCGCCCCCCCCGCTCCCCCCCGCTCCTCCGCCACCCCCTTCCCCCACAACCTCCACATCCCCGCTCCTGCCACGACGACGACGACGACGACCACCACCACCACCACGACCAAGACGGCGGCGGCGGCGATGTACACGACGACCACGACGACCACCGAAGACTAAGAGCGACGGCGACGAGCGGCGACGACGAGCGGCGGCGACGGTCCGAGAGCGCTTCGCGGGCCGCGGCCGCGGAGCGCGAGGATTGAGCCCCATGGTGCCGGCTGCACGCGCCGCAGAGAGGGGCGAACCCGCAGCTCAGAGCAGGGGCCCCGACAAATGCGGCCCCGAGGACGAGGGCCCCTCGAGCAGTGCAGGTTCGATCTGGGGTGCCCTCCTACGGCAGGTCCGTGTCGTGACGACCCTGGCGTTCGCCTCCGACACACCGCGTGGACCGTTCAGCCCGGAACGATCCGCGGCGTTCCGATCGCCAGATCGCTCCACGCTGATCGGTTCTGGACCACTGGCGGCGTTCGAACTGGAGCGCCCGCGCTGGGTCGTGGCCGCGTCGACTCGACACAGACCTGCCGCACAGCTGCCCAGACATGCGATGCCTCGATGTTTTCCATACTTTTTTTGGTTGGCGGCTCCGAGGCGGCGGACAGGGAGCGGACAAGTCCGGGGCGCGGTACCTACGAATTAACGAGAAGATTGAAGGGAAACTGGGACACACAAATAAATACACACAAATAAAAATATCCCCCATATTTTCCTATATTTTCTGGGTTTTTGTCTTCCCCCCCCAATTCCCATATTTTCCCATATTTTCCTGGGAGTCGACGATTAATTGTGTCTGTGTGTTTTTTCCCCTCCTGAAAGATTGCCGCCGCAGTGCCCCGAGTAATTGCTCGACGGTCTGGGGGCGGCTTCTCTCAGGGCCCCGGAATTCCCTCAGGGCCGGTTTTTCGTCCAGAGTGATTGTTCGACGGTCTCGGGGCGCGGCGAGGGCCCCTGGAGGCCCGAAACGGCCACAAACCTTTTGCCATGATGTTCTGTTCACGGCGCGAGCACGTCTTGGTGGCCACACCTGTCAGAGCACCCCCTTCCAGCCGCCGAGAAGAAGCGGGCGGACACCGCGGGCGCGCGGGGAGGCACGGCCTGGGCCAGGCAGCGGGTCGTCGGGGGGCGCTGCCGCCAGACGGACGCGGTCGTCGGGTGCCGTCGGCGTCGTCCACAGAAAAACGGCACAGGGCTCGAGCTGAACTGAGTTTTCCGTTCTCGTGCTCTTCTCGTGTTCCCTCGTTCTGTTCGTTCCGCCGTTGCTGCACAACGAAATCAAGACGGAAACGGCCCACGAACTCGCCAAAACACCGTTCGGCATGAGCCCTGAGACGGTACGAACATGCACTGTCGGAGCTCCGCGCGATTTCTTGGATCGGTTCTGGGCCCCCCCGGGCAGCGCCTCCGGCGCCGCCCCAGGCGCGCTGCGCGCGCCAGGGAGGGGGGCATAGCGCCGATCCAAGAAATCTGCGCGGGACTCCGAAAGTTTGTGTTTCTTCAGTCTTTGTCTGCTTCGCTCGTCGACGTCGGGGAGCGTCGTCGTCGCCGTCGCCGTCCGTGTCGCCGTCGCCGTTGCCGTTTCCGCCGTCGTCCGGCTGTCGTCGTCGTCGTCCCAAGCCGAGGAACCATCAGGGGGGGGAGGATTGAGCTAGACCAACGGTCGCCGACGAAAGGTGAATGCGCGACGAGTTGGCGGGGCGGCAACCCCACCAGGAGGGTGAAACCAGAAGCGCGAGGCGTTTGAATTTAGATGATACTTGGCGCCAGCTTCACAGATGCAGGCGATTCCACGAGCGAATGGACCCACAACCCCTCGAGGAATAGTAAAATCAGTAGCTCGTAGCGCCTGAACATGTGGAAGGCGGGAGGAAACGTGCATTCGGCAGCAGGTCTCCAAGCCCAAGCTACACGTCAGCATCCCGCACGAGAGGCACTGTCCAGCTGATTCCACAGCCGCCCCACGCAGCAGCTCGCTCCCAGCACAGAATCCGCGGAGTAAACCCGACTGAAGCAAAAGCGCTGATCTCGACCTGGCTCCGTTCGATCTCGGCCTCGGCACTCCTGAACAGGGCCTCGAAGCTCGCGAGCCCGAAGCAGGGGCTCAGCATGGTGGTCAAGGGCATCGGCGGGCCTCGCCTCGACGCAGAGGGCTTTCGCCTCCTTGCGCCGCGCCTCCTCACCCAGCTTGGTCTCGAAGGCGGCGCCCACAGGGGCCCCAGGCGGCCTCATGACACCCGAGTCGACGTTGGTCGGAACGGCGGGCACGAGCGGCTCCATCATTGATGTGACCACCGCGGCGCGACGCTCGCCCACGAGGGAGGCGCGCACGGCGGGCCCGAGCGCCCCCGTGATGCCAAGTCGAGGTCGGCCACTGGACCCACAGCCCGGAAAACCCAGCGGGCGCCTTCGGGGGCGTCCAAGGGGGGGGGAGGGGGGGCAAATCATGGCAGGCGGCATGTGCGCGGCCCAGAGGTGGGCCAAGAACGTATTGAAATAAGAAGCGGCGCCATGAAAGGGGAGATCTCATTCCCCCCACCATGATATTCACACACCCCTAATCATCGGCCCCCTCTTCGCCGCCCCCGACGCCCGGCAGCAGGGGCGGCCACGGGGCGGCCACCGTGCCATAGCTGGGGGCCAAAGCTGGACGAACCTCAGCGAGCGCACGTGACGTGGCCCCGAGGCGGCCACAGAGTGAGGACCCAGAACGCCCACAGGCAAGCAACGATGAAGGCAGGTACCGACCCCTCAGTGCAAGCACTGTATGGGGAACTATTTCTCGCTCCTCCTCCTCCTCCTCCTCCTCCTCGTCCTCCTCCTCCTCCTCTTCCGCGTCCTCGTCCTCCTCCTCCTCCTCCTCCTCCTCCTCCTGCTCCTCCTCCTCCTCTTCCTCCTCCTCCTCCTCCTCATCCTCCTCCTCGCCCTCCTCCCCCTTCCCCTCGCCCTCATCGCCTCCCTCGTCTCCTCCCCCTCTCCACGGTCCTCCTCCTACTGCTCCCCTCATCCTCCTCCTCCTCCGCCTTCTCCTCCTCCTTCTCCTCCTTTCTATCCTCCCCCTCCTCCTCCTGCTCCTCCAAGTCGTCGTCACCGTGGGTGTCGGCGTCGGCGTCGGCGTCCGCATCGGCATCCGCGTCGGCGTCGGCGTCGGCATCGGCGTCGTCGTCATCTTCGTGTTGTCGTCATCGTCGTCGTCAACGTCATCGTCATCGGCATCGTCATCGTTATCGTCATCATCACGACCTCCACCATCACCATCACGCTTACCATCACAAGCGCAACC